GTGTCGTTGGCCTTATGACGAGGAGTGCCTGTGGGTTATCCTAATCGTTGTCTTGGTCACTCTTGGTTGGGCCTGGTTGACTTTGCCAGTCAGCTCCTACAGTGATCAGTTGGCCACCTCTAGATCTGTGTTTGCCGGTCTAGACGTAATCGGTGCACTTACCTTGAAGTGCCAGGTTGCAGCGATCCCAGAGCGTTGATAACGTGATCTGATCCCTAAGTTGAGAGCGGTCTTCCTGTAACGCTTCCGAATAAGAGGTCCTGGTCGGAAAGAGTTGAAAGATACGAAATTAGGTGGTCGTTGGAATCCTGATCGCAGTAAAGTGGTCCTTGGTAACTGCACAAGAGTAGAACAAGTCTGCATCGCCTGTAGTCGGCTAATAGGGAGGGCTGTGCGAGTAAAGGCTTCCATGGATTGGGTAGTGTCCTTCAAGTGGGTGGCGAAGAGCCAGTCGGGCATATGTCATGAAGGTTTCTCCGACCGATTAACGGTTTGCCGCTTGACTAGCCTAGGGAAATAATAATAAAGGTAAAGTAAACTTTTTTAATGACATATGGGGCACAAAATAACTGGTGTCTTGTAAATGTTCTGTTTTCTTTTTTTAATATAAAATTTCTACTTTAGTCTTTACTTTTAAAATATGTACTGTTTCTTTTTTGTTTTGTTTTCTTGTTTTTGTTTTGCTTTTTTCCTTATGTATTGAGCTCAGTATAGACTAATACTACTTTAATATTAAAATCTGAATTTCCTCCAGCATTTTGCTTAAAAGCAATATGCTTTTTGCTTATTTCGTGCCCTGATGATTTTTTCAATTCTGATAGAATACAAGTGTGGTAAATGCCATGTTTGTACTTTATCTAACATCTTCTCTTCCAGTAGTCTTGTTTTTTTATACCATGTGATTGTTTGTGTGTCCAGTTGCCTTTTCTTTGCTTGACACAATTGTCTTGTGTTAAGGATCTCAAAGATTTCATGAGACAAGCTGGGGAAGTAACCTTTGCGGATGCACATCGACCTAAATTAAATGAAGGGTGAGTGTGTGTTGAAGATCATAACAGCGTTCTAAAACAGACCGAAAATTTTACTGTGAATGTTTTCAGAGCACGTAAAATCTGGACATGCTGTAGCGCAGTGGTTCTCATTCCAGGATGAGTTTGCTCTGTAGGGAGCACCAGACAACAGTTTTGGTTCTTGTAACTGCTCGAGGGTGCCACTGGCATCTCTGGGGAAAGGCCAGGGATGCTGCTAAGCATCTGATGGTGCCTATATAGGAAAGCCTTCCACAAACGGGAACTACTTAAAATGTCAGTTGTTTGGAAAAGTTGAGATGTTAGATCCTTGTTGCAATGCTGTTAGATCTCCATTAAGATCTAAGACAACGATGCGTGAGCAAAAAGATACACAGAGAAGGTATTCTAGTTTGCTACATGTAGTCCAACTAGGCTGCAAGTTGTATATGACTTTATAAAGGGCTTGCTTATTTATTTATCTATTTATTTATTATAGGGTGGTAGAATTCGCCTCTTATGGTGATTTAAAGAATGCTATTGAAAAACTTTCCGGAAAGGAAATAAATGGGAGAAAAATCAAATTAATTGAAGGCAGCAAAAGGCACAGGTACCTCTCTTTAACATTTTTAAGACAGTTTCAGTCGATAGGTTTGTAGGGAACTGCCACTTACGTTGTGTCTCCCCCTTCCTAGTAGGTCACGCAGCAGGTCTCGTTCCCGAACCCGGAGTTCCTCTAGGTCTCGTAGCCGATCTCGTTCCCGGAGTCGCAAGTCTTACAGCCGGTCTAGGAGCAGGAGCCGGAGCCGGAGCAAGTCCCGTTCTGTTAGTAGGTCTCCTGTGCCTGAAAAGAGCCAGAAACGTGGTTCTTCAAGTAGATCTAAGTCTCCAGCATCTGTGGATCGCCAGAGGTCCAGGTCTCGATCCCGGTCAAGGTCCAGATCAGTTGACAGTGGCAATTAAACTGTAAATAACTTGCCCTGGGGGCCTTTTTAAAAAACACACACAAAAATTCCCAAACCATACTTGCTAAAAATTCTGGTAAGTATGTGCTTTTCTGTGGGGGGGGGGGGATTTGGAGGGGGTTGGGTTGGGCTGGATATCTTTGTAGATGTGGACCACCAAGGGGTTGTTGAAAACTAATTGTATTAAATGTCTTTTGATAAGCCTTCTGCTCACATTTTTGTGAATGTCTGAAGTGTATAGTTTGTGTATATTGAGAGCTCTTTTATAACTAAAGCAAATTTAATTTTTTTGTACTAGAAAAGATTTGAACATTTTAGTTCTTGGTTATTCAAATATGTTAATTCAGAATTAGCTTAATACCTCAATTAAACTAATTAATAGCTTTGGACACTTAAAAGAGCTCTAAATTTGCTTGTACATAAAGGCTTGAGCTTTCCTTGTTAGGGTCAAGGGTGTCTTTCCACCCGCCCTTCAACAGCTGCCTGACAGACCCGTTAACGCAGCTGTTTGTTATTGATAATAAAAGATTATAAAATTGCTTTTGTCTGTTTGTGTGAAGGACGAATGTGGTTTACTCCTCCCGCCCCATCTGTATTCAACACATTTAAAATGCCTTACGGAGAATCCTGGAGTTTGGTGTGGTGGGTTTTTTAAAGTTTTTGAAAATTTAAATCTTGCCATTTCAGGGCTAGTCAAAACCCGGGCAGAGAAGGCCGTGAACTGTTCAAAGTAACGGTGGCAGTTGTCTTGGTGTCCTGTGTGTGACCTTCCATGCTTTCGCTTTATCACTTCATTGCATTGGCATCAGGTTATTGAGACTTCCGTAGCCAAGCAGACAATAATTTGGGAAGGAAATTCTAAAAATTGTTTTTTATGTGTTGTATGTAGTTTTGAAGGTTTTGAAAATGAGATTATCACACAACGCTTAAAGTCTATGCACAAGAGTGCTTTCAGGGGTTCTGCGTGTTTTTTTCTTTCAGTGCTGCGACGTGGGCGTGACAGTGCGTTAAGGGGAAACAGTTTAGTAGAGAGGAAAACTGCTTAAGGTACTACATCATTGTTCTGGGAGCTGTGTTAATAGTCTCTCCTAGGACTCTGTGGAGACTGCCTAGGTTATCTTGGTTCCCTGAAGGACTTTGGATAAATGGTAACAGTGAATGACATAAACTAGCCAGATCCTCTTGCAGATGTCTTACCTGCGTGTTCATGAATCTTCACAACCAGCTCCTACATACAGTAATAGTTTCACAGGAGTGAGATTGGGGCCAGAGAAGAGCAGTTAAATGGTGGGCTAGTATGGGAATTGGAGTCCAGTTCCCCAGAACCCAAACAGCACGTTTTCTACGTGTAGACAAATCTGCCTTTGCCTTGCAGGGTTTTTTGAGGAAAACAGAAGTACCAGAAGGATTGCTTTTGGCTTTCCAAAAGTGTGCAGATTGGGTAGCGGGGATCCATTCCGGGGAATAGGTTTTGAGAGGTTTTTGGTGTACATGTGCCTCTCATACCCCAGACTAGAAATTTAGGCTGTAAAATGGGGAGGCTGATCCACCACGAAAGCGATGGATTCTAGGGAGAGTTTATTCGTATACTTGTTTACTCAGGTGGGGGCACGTGGAAAGCAGCGGAATGTAGATTTTTTCCTTAGGATTTTATAAGTAATCTCTGCACCCAATGTGGGGCTCGAACTCAGAGTGAGATCAAGTCACACATTCTCCCGACTGAGCCAGCCAGATGCCCCTGGTTTATTAGGTTGCCTATGGAAGGCTGCAAGTCAGCCAGAAGTTCATGTCAAAGGGAAAGAGGCAACTCTTGGGCTTTAAAATGTAATGGAGTAGTATGATGTAGGGACTTTCTTGTACTTTACCAGTTGACTATTCAGATAGGTTTTTACCTTTTTTTTGCCTCTAAATAGGTAAATGATAACTGTGGCTCACCTCTTTAATATTACAAGTATTTGTAATACACTGTAATACAGTGAAGCAGTAAAATAAGGCATGAATCTATCTAATGTTTGCATATAAGCATTATGAAAACATTCCATTGGAGGAAATTTGAATTACTAGAATTATAATTAAAGAAACCACTCCTTTTGCAGTAGCTTGCAGTTCTCTGGTTTTGAGGGGATATAATATGAGAACCACTGATAGCCAATGACCTGATGTGCTGGATTCTTAGTGAACAATTCTGTTCATTGTGTTTTCTTGTTATCTTGGCTTGCCCCTTCTACTTGTGGTGGTATTCTCCAGAAATATCCATTCATTTCATTATGGCTGAGTTTTTGAGCTAGTCCTGTTTCATTGCTTTTGCGTTTTATGTCTGCTTTTGTACATGTAGTGTCATGTTGGTGTTCTTAGTAGGTTTAATCCCAAAAATGTCAAAAGGGAAGGAATGGGAAATTCTAAGGTTAGAAATACTTCTGAAGCTTAAATCTGGGAGTACTCTTGAGTATTTATTGCCTTTTATGGTCATAAAAGTTGGAACAGGATTTGGATATTTGGTTTTAGGTGAAAGTCCTTATTGGTTGCCTAGTTCAGAAATTGAGTGCCTTTTATATGCCTGTGGAACACTGTTCTGGAAATACAGGGACAAAAGGCAGTTTTGGTTTTTGCCTTAATTGGATTGTCATTGAGGAATTCTTAGTTTTGTTATTATTTTTTTGAGAGGGTACCACAGAATGAGAATCCCAGGCAGGCTTTGTACTGACAGCACGGAGCCTGAGGCCAGCCTTGAGCTCCCAGACCGTGAGATCATGACCTGAGCTAGAGTCCAGAGTTGGGCACTTAACTGACTGAGCCACCCAGGTGCCCACAAGTCTTCATTTTTTAAACAGGTATCAACTTGGAAGCTGGGGATGGGCAGGGCTCTTCAGGTAGACTCCCTCGCTGTGCTTCCGCCAGGCGAGGTTTGTCAGTTCTGGTAGTTTCTGCCGGCAGTGCTGGAGAGAGACTCCCGTCTCTGGTGTTCCTTTCATCTTCCCACTGGCTTTCTGAATTACCCTTTGGCCAAGAATCCAGTGCACCAGGGGAGCTAGGCTGTGCAAGGGGAGCTCTCTTCCCCTTTGTGGGTGCCGTTTCCTAGGGTTTCTGGAACTGCTGTTTTAGTTGGAGCAGCTGTGTAGGTTATTTTCATCTTATCTGGAAAGTTGAAAAGGGTCAAGGGTGGGGAAGGAGAGTAAATAACAGTTATTAATACAAAGCTTTATTCAGTGGAAGACAGCACCTCCTAGGGTTAAGTTGTATTCTGTATGTTTTTGTGTGTCCCTCCCCCAACCTCTTAGCATGCATCCTCCGATTAATTTTTTTTTTTTTTAAGTTTTATTTATTTCGAGAGCAGGGGAAGGGGGGAGAGAGAATTCCACTATCATTGCGGAGCGTGATGCGGGGCTTGAACTCACAAACCTAGAGATCATGACTTGAGTGAAAATTAGGAGTTGGACACTTAATTGACCCCAGGTGCCCCCTCCCATGACTTATTCTTAAACTGGGGGAATGATGTGCTTTCCCTGTTAAACATTTCTAATGATAATATTAATAATAATCAGTGTACTAAATTATTGACTCTTCATCACTTCCTCTCCAACTTCTTTGTACAGGCAATGCAGCAGGAGAGTTTGAGTTTTATTGTTGTTTTTTTATTGTTGTAATTTTTTAAAAAATTGTTTATTCTTGAGAGACAGAGCAGGGGAAGGGCAGAGGGAGGGAGATACAGACTCTGAATCAGGCTGTAGACTCTGAGCTGTGAGCACAGAGCTCGATGCGGGGCTTGAACCCATGAATGGTGAGATCATGACCTGAAGCAAAGTCGGATGCTTACCTGACTGAGCTACCCAGGCACCCTGAGAGTTCAAAGTGCTTGCATTCCGCAAGCAAGGAAGCGCAGGGAGGGAAAAGCTTTAAGAGGTCTTCTAAGTGTGGACTTTCCACAGCCCCCTCGTACGTGGCTACCCATTTATCTCCCTGTACGGAGGTGGTGACGAGTCGGAGTTCCCGTCTTATCCCCATTTTTGTAGAAGTACACAGGGCTTGGCAGCAAGGAAATGTGTGCATCTCTGCCCCAAGTGCAGCTGCGACAGCCCTGACCGCAGCAGCTTGGAAGATGGTCTCCTGAAGTGCTCTGTAGCCCTACAGGCTCGGGGAGGTGGCTGCTTAGGTTAGAAAGTTCCACTCCTTGGGGCACCTGGGTGGCTCAGTTGGTTAAGCGTCCGACTTCAGCTCAGGTCATCATGATCTCACGGTTTGTGAGTTGGGGCCCCGCGTTGGACTCTGTGCTGACAGCTCCGGGCCTGGAGCCTGCTTTGGATTCTGTGTCTCCCTCTCTCTGCCCCTCCCCTGCTCATGCTCTGTCTCTCAGTAATACATAAACATTAAAAATTAAAACAAAACAAAAAAAACCCCACCACTCCTCACTACCGCAAGAGGGTGGAAGCTTCGGGTTGCATGCGCAAAAAATTTGAGTTGCTTTCAGGAGAGCGTTAGATGAGATTTTCCACAACTCCACTGTAGCTTTGAGTGGACACTTAAAAAGTTTTGAAGTATGTTTCTTTTTGGCTGCTTGATTAGATGTTAATGGTAAGTCTCCACTTACTACCATAAGATAGTCACTAGGGGAAGTGGTCTCCTGTGGTCTAAGTCCATCCCCAGGGTCTAGAAAACCTCTTGAAGGAGTCCTCAAGTTCATGGGAAATGAAGGATTTGAGTGGTTAAGAATATATATACTTCATGAGTACAATATGCTTAGAATTACAAAATACTGGAACGTCTTTCCAAATAAAATTCCTGACTTGAAAAAAAAGGACATTATGGTCCACTTAAAGGAAGGGACTTAGTGGGTTTCCTTGAGGTTTATTACAATTTAAGAGAATACAAAACTCTCTGAGCATCTTAGAGGAGGTGCTGTTTAGGAAGTAATTCAGTAGTGATCAGATTCAAGTATCAGTTATATTGCACTATTGTGATATTTACTATTTAATAAGCTTATCGTTAAGTTTTATTTACTGTGTAACCGGAGTTGGGAGTCTTTTTTTTGGATTCCGGCTAATTAGGCTTTTGCTTCAGTATGTTTTCCTTCATAAAGGAGTGGCCGTGCTCCTGACCTGGTTCTGGGACAGGAGGACCTAGTCCTAGAAAACCCTGCATTTTCCAGATTGTGAATAGGGGCCTTTCACACAACTGATCGCTCATAGCTATTTACTATCCAAGACCATTCTGTCCTATTTATCCTGAGTCGTCCCTGGTCTCCATGGTTAAAGTCAAAATTGCCTTACTCTTGTTAAGTGCAAATCTGCCCACAGTTGATTCTCCTAGCCAGAAGGCAGCGATGGAGTGCTGTTAATGGGAGGAGGTGTGGCTCTTTGAAGTCCCTTCCTACTTGGCGCTCCCTGGTTCCTCATGACTTGATAAGAGTTGAAGCCCCACGCAGAGGACCCTGCCAGAGACTGGTTTCCTGGCAGGGATCAGGTCCAATACGGGAGAACTCAAAAGGAGAAATGATTGAGTACTCACCTTTGGAAGGCTGGATTCTCTCATAGCAACGAAAGATGGAGATGAGGAGAACCCCTTCTCCGAGCTGGAAAATCATGTAGAGGAGAGGGAAGAAGAAAAGTGGCCCAATGACTTGAGGGGGGAACGTCACATTGAGGATGGTAGAACAAAGTTGAACGTTTTGGCATCCAGTTTCCATGCTGACTGTGCGCCTGCACCTGTGTTAGATTCAGAACAAAACAACTCTGTTCGTCCTCAGAAGGGACGGGAGGGTGCGACCCTTGCCCATCTCCCTCCCAAATCACCCAAGTCCCATTGAATGAAGGTGGAAGTCAATGGTGATTAGTAGGTTCATGGCCCGGGGTATTTATGAGAATTTTTGAGGAGCTTGGAGACTTCACCATTTGTCTACTTCCGCAGGACCACCAGATTAATATTTGGAAGAGGTGGTGAGTCAGTATCATTCATTGGCTTGTATGTTGTTGGGTTTTACATACAGGGCAGTTGCAGTGTGACATTCAGAAGATTGTCTGAAACGCCTGGGCCTCTTGTCCTGTTCCCTTGTTTCTGGTTTGGATATCTTTGATTTCCAAAACGCTTAATGATTGGGGCGCCTGGGTGGCTCAGTTGGTTGTGTCCGACTTCGGCCCAGGTCATGATTTCACGGTTTGTGGGTCCGAGCCCCGTGACGGGCTCTGTGCTGACAGCTCAGAGCCTGGAGCCTGCTTCAGATTCTGTATCTCCCTCTCTCTCTGACCCTCCCCTGCTCCTGCTGTGTGTCTCAGAAATAAATAAAACGTTAAAAAATTAATTAAAAAACCCAAGCACTTAATGGTTAAAAACCAAGCTTGGTTTAACCCTATTATCTATCTTTGGAACATACTGTCTTGGTTTTGCTCTCGTTTTTTTTTAAATTTTTTAAAATGTTTTTATTTTGGGAGAGAAAGACAGCATGAGCAGGGGAGGGGCAGAGAGAGGGAGACACAAAATTGGAAGACAGGCTCCAGGCTCTGAACTGTCAGCACAGAGCCCGACGTGGGGCTCGAACCCACAAACTGAGATCATGACCTGAGCCAAAATTGGACACTCAACCGACTGAGCCACCCAGGTGCCCCTGCTCTCTTGTTTTATGGACTAAGAATGAGGGGTGCCTGGGTGGCTTGGTCAGTTAAGCGTCTTGAGTCATGATCTCAACGGTTCAGGCGATCAAGCCCCACGTGGGCTCTGTGCTTGCAACGTGGAGCCTTCTTGGGATTCTCTCCTCCTGCCCCTTTTCTCCCTCGGACTCTCAGAACATTAAGAAAAAAAAGAATGGGATGTTTACATCTAATGAATACATATTTATTTCATGGAGTTGTGATTAGGGTCTTGAGTACTTAACTAGAAGTTACTGAAAGTTCTCAGCACATTCATTAGTGGGGGAGACTGCTGTGATGGCCCTTGGCTTTGTGGCCATTTATTACTGGTCACTAAAAAGTGACATACGATAGGTTGTTGATAGCCTTTTGACTCTACTGTTCCCCCATGCTACATCCCTCCTGTAGTAATTTGTTTTTTATTAAAGTGTTCTTTTTAAAATGGGCAACTTTGTGAGTTGTATTCTTAAAGCAATTTAGTTTTGGGGGGCCAGTAGGGTGCTACTAATGTTCAGACTCCTGCGTAAGCATTTGTTTAGGGCTGGAAAGAGGCAAAATTCCTGAATGTGCTACTCCAGACAGGGTCTCTCTATCCCACACCAGACTGTCAAGCCGACTGTCCCTGCAGGCGGCCCCTGAGTTTGGGATTGGATGAGACTCAGCAGAGGTCCACAGCCACTCAAACTCTTAGTGCCACTTAGCAGAGCGGTCATCTAGTGGTGTCCTTGTCAAGACTAAAGCCTGCGCAGGCTAGTTGGAAGGGTGGGGAAGGAAGAGTGTCAACACCATGATGACGTGGGGCCACTCCAGTGTTAGCTACCAGGTTTCAGCAGGAGTTGGAGTCTAGGCTCTGGAGGGAGCCCTGGGTCATGAGCTCTTTGGGTTATTAGATGTTCTTGCTCCTGAGCCATTCAATACCTTACCTCCAGTATTTCTCACAGCCCAGAGTTCCTAGGTGGGTTGGTGCATTTGCACATACTGCCAGGAAAATGCCTCTCCTTTTCCTGAGAGACCAGGACACAAGAATGAGGCCCATGGGACACCGGGATCTGAAATAATACTTACTGCCCATTGAGGCGGAAGAGAGCAGAGAGGATGTAGCCCAGCACGAAGCCAATGAAAGGCATCAGGGAGGAGGTGGCCAGCAAGTGCGGGGTCATGACAAACATGATACTCTTGCCCACATTGATGATCGAGAGTGCTATGATGGCCACACTTAACAAAAGCATGATGATTGTCCCGCCCTGTAGATGAAGAAGGGAAGCAAAGGCAGTTAGTGGGGTGGGGGATAAAGAGGAACAGAGTCCGAGGGAGCATGGGTGGGTGTCAAAGGCAGAAAACACTTCAGTTAAAAATAGGTATTTGAGGGGTGTCTGGGTAGCTCAGTTGGTTAAGCATCCTGCTTCAGCTCAGGTCATGATCTTGCACTTTGTGGGTTCAAGCCCCACGTCCGGCTTACAGCTCAGAGCCTGGAGCCTGCTTCCAATTCTGTGTTTCCCTCTCTGCTCTCTCTCTCTCTCAAAAATGAATAAACATTAAAAAACAAAGGTATTTGAAGTGAAAAGGGAGTGCAAAAAACCCTTTTATCTTCCATCTATTTGGCTTACCAGTAGCTAGGAAGCTTCTTGGAGGACAGAGAGCTAATAATTAACATTCTCGTTACTCTTGACTTAAAAAAGAGCCAGATGTTTACCAGCAAAATGAGTTTATTTGCAACTAGCAGAGGAAGTTCAGTTTGGGACAGGCAAGCTATGCTGAACCATCCGCAAGTCCTGAGAACACGGGAACACGGGACAGCTGGCCTTTAGAGAGGGAGAGACGTGGGCAGGGCTGTGTCCGGAGTCCTCAGTGGCCCAGTGTGGCCGAGGAGGAGAAATCCTTCCTCCTGCCTTGGTGTGTAAAAAAGTAAGCTTTCTGTCAGGGAATGCAAAGTTTGCTTTTGGCTAGTGATAGTGTCTGAGAGCTTTCCCTTCAGGGCTTCCAGAGTCTATTTTAAATGAGATTTTATTTGCACATGTCTCTCCCCCCCCCACCTTTTTTTTAAGTTTATTTATTTTGAGAGAGTGCCTGTGCGCGGCGAAGGTGCATAGAGTGAGGGAGAGAATCTGAAGCAAGCTCCTCGTTGAGCATGATTGGGGGTGGGGTCGACCTCCCGAACCGTGAGATCATAACCTGAGCCAAAATCGAGTTGGGTGCTTAACCGACTGAGCCACCCAGGCGCCCCACATTGCTCCCTTTCGATCAAAACCGTTCTTCAAAAACATCACTGATAAAGAGTCAGGTTTTTTTTGTGTTTCGTGGTTGCACCCACGAAAGTGGCTTTGTCCCTCTGTGCCAGGAAGGGTTTTGCCTTGTCCTGTCCCACATTGGAAAGTGCACAGATTGGAAACTGTTGAGGCCACATGAGGAACAAGGAAGGGTATGAGGGGCATCTCAGGCATTTCCCATCTGATCAGCTTTGGAGGCCATCTTGTGTGAGCTCACACCTCCCTGCCGGTGCCCCCCCCCCCCCCATAGAGGCAGGTAGAGTTGGAGAATGGGGCGTCAGTCTTGCCATTTGTCCACAGCCACCTGCTGAGACGAGGCCCTAGGTAGTTGCTTCTCTATAGGTCACCGTGTTTTGGGGACCCCCTGACTTCACTGTTAATGTTGACCGAAGCTGTGAAGAATGTCCATTTCATGGGCAGCCAGTCCGTCAGCTTGTCGCTGACCCAGGCGATGACAAGGCTCACTCTTCCCACAAAGATGGCCTCCGCAGCTCGCTGACACCGGGAGGCAGAGGTGAGGCAGCTCGCCAGTAGCACCAGAAATGGGAAGAGTATAGGTGGAGTGGCTGAGTCGCTGTAACAGCGGGTCCCTTATTTAAGGGTGGTGGATGGCTTATGGAAAAGTGGCTTGTAGACCAGGTCATGCTGAGGTTCATCGACCTAACCACAGGGACTCAAATAAACCCTTGCATAGCTAAGTTCAAGTGTTACTTGAGTTGCGCGCCAAATAGAGCATCCAAGAAATTGTATCCTGGCATATCTACATGTGACCTCCCACTAGGTAGTGTGTTTGAGCAGACACCAGCCAGAGCCAGCTTTCAGAAGTTGGGTAATTTTGATTTAAGTCTCTAGGGGGCGCCTGGGTGGCTCACTCGCTTAGGTGTCCCGCTATAGCTCCGGAGCAGTTCAAGCCCCGCCCTGCGTCGGGCTCTGTGCTGACAGCTCGGAGCCTGGGGCCTGCTTCAGGTTCTGACTCTCCCTCTCTCTTTTCCCCTCCCTTGCTCGTGCTTTCTCTCAAAAATAAATATATCATTAACAAAAAAATTTCTTTAATGAAAGTCTTTAGAAGAGTTTAGTGTGCAAAGAGGTTGGGACAGGGGTTTGCTCATTTTCGGCTTGTGGTCCACTGTATTTTATGCAACAGGAGAGGTCATTTGACTCCAGTTTCTGCTGTCGAATTAGACGGTGGGTGTGCAGCGCAGCGGGAACATGACCCTGGCTCTGCCAGAGAAGTTCCCCGGGCCTCAGTTACTCTACATATAAAATTGGGAGAAGGATGGAGACTGAACTTTTATCTTGAGAGCTTTTCCAACTTTAGGATCTGAGATTCTTTCTGCATCCTCAGATGAATATTAATTAAAATTATCCTGGGGGCGCCTAGGTGGCTCATTCGGTTAAGTGTCGGACTTCGGCTCAAGTCATGATCTCGTAGTTGTGAGTTTGAGTCCTGCGTCAGGCTCTGTGCTGACAGCTTGAAGCTTGGAGCCTGGAGCCTGCTTTGGATTCTGTGTCTCCCTTGCTATCTGCCCCTCCCCTGCTCGTGCTCCCTCGCTCATTCTCTCTCAAAAATAAACATTAAAATTTTTTAAAGTTATTCTGAGTTAAAAAGGAGACATTATATTACTTGTGACTAGCAGTATGGTCCTTCGCTTCCTCACCTATAAAATGAGGAGGAGCAGAGTTCAATTGAATGATTATCAGAGGTTGCTTCACATTTTTACTTTTTTTTTTCTTTTTAGTATACCTGTACCTCCACAAACTATCTTGAATAAAATTAAGCGATAGACACAAACATTTCTGGGTTTTTCTTTCCCCTGCTAATGTGGGGAGTGGTCTGGGCAGAGGGAAGGACTCGCGCAAAGAGAAAGCTGACACTTGGGGAGGGGGGTTGGCTATAGCAAATCAAGCGGGGCCTGGGAGGCTACATAAGGGAACGTAAAGTTCATCCCGCAGAGTATGGAGCCAGGCAGGTGCTTTAAGCAGTGGAGAGACATGATGGAGTTTGGGCTTCCCGTCTCCATCCTCAGGTTGAAACTGATCAAGGAGCCAGGATAGAAAGCTGTTTCAGTTGTGAGAGAGGATAGTGGCCCAAGTGACGGTAGTGTTGTCACAGGTGGAGAGGAATAGGTGGATCCAAGGGACAGAAGGCAGAATAGACAATCACCTGTTCAGGTGGGTGTGAGAGGGGATGCAGAGGGGAAATGACTTCACGGTTTTGTGGCTCAGGCAGCTGGGATGCCGTTCTTTGAGGTAATCACGGTGGGAGGAACAGGCTCGGGGAGGAGATGGTTTTGATTTAAGACATAGTGAGTTGTAAATGCGTGGGGCACAGTCAGGTAGAAAGATTTGGCAGTTAATAAATGCATCCTGGGGGCACCTGGGTAGGTGGGTCAGTCGGTTAAGCATCCAACCCTTGATCTCAGCTCAGGTCTCCATCTCAGTGTTGTGAGTTCAAGCCCCACGTTGTGCTCTGTGCTAGGCGTGAAGCCTACTTAAATGATGGGTGGGTGGGTGGATTCTGCAGGTGGAGAGAGTTGAGGGCGAAGAGATGCATCTAGGAGGTGCATCATAGAAGCTTCTTTGTTATTAAAATAATGGTATCTGATAATTGTGTCATAAAGCGTGTTAAATAATTTTCCTCCTAACTTCTCAGAAGTATTCCCAAGTACATTACAATCCCACAACGTAGGTGTCCCAATAGAAGACCCAACAAGGAAGGAAACCAACACAGGAAAAGCCCCAATGACTCTCTTCAAGCCATACCCTGGGATGATGGTGGCGCTCTTGTTCCCTGCACGGGTCCCCAGGTTCTTACCTTCTTGACATAGGGGACATATTGTGGCCGTTTGGCATTGAGGAAGATCCCGGCGGCACAGGGAATGAGAACCAGGATCAGTGATACCATGATGCCGCCATAGGGTACCTTGTCCTTCAGGTCCCCGGCGTAGATGCCCCTGGAGTAGACATACAGGAGGAGGGGCATCATGCCCAGGGCACAGAAGGTGGAGCAGGTGGTCATCACGATGCTGGGCGGGAGAAGCAGGGAGAGTGCAGAGAGAGCGCCCGTTAATAGAGACTATTTTCTTGAGTGCCTGCTATGTTCCAGGCACCGCGCTAAGCACTTTACATACATTAATTTCTTCCTTTTTCCAGTAGGCTTAGGAGATACAGGTTATAGGTTGATATTCTCATGTTTTTTACTTTCAGGTTTATCTTTATGAATGAGTGTGAGTTCCAAAGCCTGAGTAATAGATCTTCTCAGCTCTAATTTGTATCCTAATTGTATTAATACCATTTCCATTTGGAACTCAATACATGTTAGTCACAGGACCCCGTATAAGGGAGAGGCTTTCCAGAAAGGGCACCTGAAAGAATGAAGCTGCTAGGGAACACTGTTGGATTGTGGATATTCACATGACAGTACAGGGCTGTGGCTTCCATTCTCATGGGAATGTTAGGCATGAGGGCTTGGCAAGACCCAGGAAAGCCCCACTCAGTGTGTGTTTCCCCTCCCCACAGCCTTAACTATCTGCACTAATTCGTTGTTTCTGTAGAGGTGAAATACAGCGTAATTGAACAGCAAGTATGGCCTAGGTCAAAGGGTCCAGAATGTAACCATCAAGAAGAGCAACAGGTAGAGGTATTATCATTAGGAATAAGATGTCACAGCAAGGTGCTTGGCTGGCTCACAGAAGGGCATATGACTCTTGATTGTGAGATCATGAATTGGAGCCCCACGTGGGGCGTAAAGATTCCTTAAATAAAATTAAAAAAAAATGTCAGAGATGAGGAGAAACCCTCAAGAAAATATTGTGAACTAAATAATGGGAAAATCCTTCCTCCATGAACATCTAAAACATCTAAACACCTATTTGAGCTTGTAGGAAAGTTAGGGAAATTTCCAGGTACCAGACACCGGACGCAAAGGAGTTGGTGGGTGAAGTCATGCTGAAGCTGCACTGTGTGGAGGGGGAGGGAGTGGGGTGTCGGAATCTGGAGGCTTCGGTCTTAATACCCAAAGGGGGGACCAGAACTGAGGTCTTGCTTATAAAGGAGAGTTGAAACCGAGAAATCCGTAATAAAAGAACTGTTAGAAAATAAAAGATCTAATTATCTTACATGTCAAATATAAAATCATAATGGAAGAAATGTCTGGAAAAACATAATGGTGCCACACATGTTTCAAAACACATGGGAGCTAACCTTGGATTACATAATAGTTTCTTAGAAAAGAGTGGCCCCTAGGTGGCTCAGTCGTAAGCGTCCTACTCTTGATTTTGGCTCAGGCCATGATCTCACGGTTTCATGAATTCGAACCCCACGTCGGACTCTGTGCTGACAGCGCAGAGCCTGCTTGGGAATCTCTGTCTCCCTCCCTCTCTGCCCCTACCACACTTGGGCTGTTTCTGCCCCTCTCAAATAAACTTAAAACAAAAAAAATTTTCTAATGACACCTAAAGCACAGCCAAAGAAAAAAAAATCTATTTAACTTCTTCGGAATTAAAAACATTTGTGCTTCAAAGGACATTCTCCAAAAGGATACACCAATGGCCAATAAGCATGTGAAAAGATCCTCCACATCGTTAGCCACTAGAGAAATATAAATCAAAACTATAATTTGTCTCCACACCCACTGGTATGGCGACAATAAAAATGATGGATAATAAGTTTGTGAGGAAGAAATAGGAATCTTCCTGTGTTGTTGATGGGATAGTTAGAGAATGACCCAGCAATGCTGCCAGATACAAAAGCAAGAGAATGGAAACACATGTTATTACATATGTTGACACACAAGCTTGTTTGTATACTAATGTTCAAAGCAGCATTATTCATAATAGCCAAGAGGTGGAAAACAGTAAAAATATCAACTGAAGAATGGATAAGCGAAATATGGTGTATCCATACAATTGAATATTATTCAGCCACAAAAAGCAATGTATTAAGTGCCCCACGTTACTACATGCATGAACCTTGAAAACAGCGTGCTACATGGAAGAAAGAAACTTAAAAGACCACATACTGTGTGATTCCACTTATATAGTCGAAAGAGACATGAAATTGGTTAGTGGTTGCCAGGGGCTCAGGTGAGAGAGGACTGTGTAGTGACTGCTAACTGGCTCCTTTTGGGGATGATTAAATGTTCTGGGATTAGATAGTGGTGATAGTTGTACAGCCTTGTGAGTATACAGAAACTACTGAATTATACACTCTAAGAGGGTGAGCTTTGCAGTATATAAATGATATCTCAATAAAAAATAATTAAATCTGGGGAACAGCTAAAATAATTCTTAGAGGAAAATTTTTATAGCCTTAAATGTTTATATAGGGAAACCAGAAGACCAAAAAACAAGCTAAGTATCTTACTCAGAAAAGTAGAGAAAAACAAAGGAAACTCATGAAAATTGAGGAAAGAATGTATAAAAATTACATACAATGAGAGGATCAAATAAGCCAAGAGTAGTATCTCTGCCAAGTCTAAGAAAAGACCCCTCTGGCACACTAACCAGGAAAAAAAAGAGAGAAGGCACCGTTGATTATATTAGGAATGGAAAAGGGAACGTAATTGCAGCCACATTAAAGGTTTTAGAGGGTTCTAGAAGAAAACTGAGGCCAGTTTTGTACTTTCAGTTTTCAATTTAGATTGAATGGACAATTTCCTTGGAAATATAAACTATAAAAACTAATTCAAAATAAGCCGAAAGCCTTAGTCAACTTAGAATCGCTGAAGGACATGAAGTAAGTAGTGAAAATATATTGTCCAAAACCTACATGATGTACATGGTTTTTCAGCAGAGCTCGACTAGACTTTCGAGGTACAGATAGTCTCACTATTATACAGAGAATACAAAAGGGGGAAACATGCCCCAATTTATTATATATGAATAGTGTAATTTAGAACTGAAGCTGCAAAAGGATATTATGAGGAAGGAAAGTTAGGGGCCATTCTCATGAACAAAGAAGAAAAAAATCATAAATACAATATTAGCAAATCTAACAATGCTTTTATAAAATAATACAAAGAATGAGATGGGTTTATCCCAGCAATGTAAGAATGGGTTAACATTAGACAATCTACTATATCACTGTCATATCACATTAAAGAAAAAAATGGTATGATCATTTGATAGATACAGAAAATTGTCATTCAACAGAATTCAATGCTCATGCATTACAAAAATTAGCACACTAGCAACAGAATGGAATTCTTTAACCTCAAAAGGGTATCTATAAAAAATACTGCAAAGAGTAAACTTCATGGTGGAAAATTAGAAAGATTCCTCTTATCGGGTGCCTGGGTGGCTCAGTTGGTTAAGCACCTGACCTTGACTCAAGTCATGGTCTCCTGGTTCATGGGTTCAAACCCTGCATCGGGCTTTCTGTGGTCAAGGTGGAACCCACTTGGGATCCTCTGTCCCCCTCTCCTCTGTGCACCCCTTTCCCCCCACCCCCACCCTGGTCAGCTCACGCTCTCTTGCTCTCTCAAACATAAATATAAAAAAAAAAACAACTTTCCTCTAAGAAGAAAGATAAAGCAAATGATACCTATTACCATTGCCTTTATTGTAAATCATACTATATATGTCTTTGCTAGCCAGCAAAACAAGAAATAGAAACTGCATGAGGATGGGAAAAAAAGAAACCAGACTTTCATTACATGCCAGTGATTGGACTATATAAATATAAATAGTTTATACTATAGACTATATAAATTCACTTGGGCAGAGGAAATCCAAGTGAATTTATAACAAGTAAGAGAATCCATGCCTTTCTAAAAACATTATCAATATGAAGGGGGCACCTGAGTGGCTCAGTTGGTTAGGCATCCGACTTCAGCTCAGGTCACGATCTTGCTGTCTGTGAGTTTGAATCCCATGCTGGGCTCTCGTGCTGACAGCTCACAGCCTGGCGCCTTCTTCTCAGATTCTGTGTGTGTCTCTCTCTCAAATAGTGTCAAAACACTATGGTGTACACCTAAGACTAATATGTCTGTCAACTATAGTGTAATTAAAAAAAAAAAAGTCGTTTATACTATTCACAACTATAAAATATTTAGAAACAAATATAAAATGTTTAGAAATAAATCTAAGAGATATGCAAGATCTTCATAGGAAAAATTATAAAACTCCATAGAAAAGTATAAAATAAAGTCCAAATAAAAAGAAAAGCTCAATCATTTTCTTGGATCAGAAGACAGAATATTATAAAGACGGCCTCTAAATTGATCTATGAATTTAATCAAAATTCCAGAAGTATTTTTTGTAGACTTGAGAACGAATCTCCAAATTCACGTGAAGAGTTAAGGGCCAAGAATAGCTAATGTAATTTTCAAGAAGAACAAGATGTGGGGACTTAACCTTTCAGATATCAAGACTTATAAAGTCATTGCAATTAAGAAAATTTGGTCCAGGGGCGCCTGGGTGGCTTAGTCGGTTAAGCGTCCGACTTTCGCTTAGGTCATGATCTCGCGGTTCGTGGGTTCGGGCCCCGCGTCGGGCTCTGTGCTGACTGCCAGCTCAGAGCCTGGAGCCTGTTTCAGTCTGTGACTCCCTCTCTCTCTGACCCTCCCCTGCTCATGCTGTCTCTCTCTCTCTCTCTCTCTCTCTCCTAGAATAAATAAAAACATTAAAAAAAAAAATTTAAAAAGAAAATTTGGTCCAGATAGCCACAAAGACCTATAGAAGAGAGATTCCAGACACAAACCCATACACATTTGTGAATGTTATCTATGAGAGATGGCATTACAAATTACTGGAGAAAAATTCACTCAGTGGTACTGGGAGTTTTCTCTATTCATATGGAAAAGATAAAATTAGATCATACCATACATAAAAATAAGCGCTAAGTTGGTTGAAAATCTCCATGTGAAAAGCATAACTTTGAACCATTTCAAAGAAAATGTCGGGGGCGGGGGGTGGGGGGAATATCTTCATGACCTTGAGTGTAGTAAATGATTTCTTAAAAGAACCCCTCCACCCCCCCAAATACAAACTAAGGAAAAATATTGGTAAATTTGACTAAAGGAAAA